GACATTATGTTGTTAATGACGAACAGTGTAGTGACGTCCTCTAGACACCAGTTTATTCTTGATTTGCCGAAACTAGTTTTGCTGTATGCAGCAAAACTTATCGTCATCTTGATGATAATAAGGTTGGACAGTGAAATTAATTTCTGCTTTAAAATAATATGTGCAATTCCATACTAATTGCTAGCAACTCTGTTATTCTGTGCAAAAGGGCTGACAAGTAGACAACTTCCACCGAACTGTTCCTGCCCAACTAGCGTTACGCTTAATGACTTTTCTCAAGATTAATTTTGTTAAAGCTCAGAGAGAGAAATAAACCCACGGGCTTTGACACTATGGTAGCTGTTTCATGCTGGCTGGCAGCGATTGGCATTTAAAGTGCTGTCTGTCTGTCTGGAAGAGATGTTCAGTCATCAGGCTTATAAAGCGTGCTTGATGCCACAAGAAACAACGGACGGGCTAAAACTTACCAGCAAAAAGAACCAAAAAACCCAGTAGCCCTCCCTTCACCCCGAACCTGATTGTATATCAGTGTCCAGGTAAGAGCAAATAAAGATTCCTTACAGGGACTTGCCTACGCTTTCTAAGAGAGAATGATTTCCCCCTCCCCGCCATCTGGGTTGACTTGAGTAATGCAAGCTATTTTAACTCGGCTAATAACTATTAAAATTACTTGGGTGTTCTGCGCCTGAAACCTTTTGTTGTGTGCTGAACACAGGTAGGTTTTCCTGCCTGGATGTGGGTCTGTGTCAAAGGGAAGAGAGCACTCTGTGGAGTGCAAGTGTGGCTTTACTAGGGGCGGAAGGAGCAGATATTTGCTAATGCGGTAAGGGAACGGGAAGTAGCGTCTACGGTTCGGCACAACCAGCCTGAGTATTACTAACGTGATTTTGATTCTCTTGGAGAGTTGGCAAATGTCCTGGTGAGAGGTTACCTGCGTTTAACGGTACGTTCCCTGGCATTGGTCTTGAGACGTGGTCCACCGAGCGCTAAGTGCCACTTTGCTTTCTCCTGTTACAGAAAGCAGTGCACCAGCAGCGCGCTTGTCCATCCTCCAGAGCACTGTGCTGCCTCCGTTCCTCCCTGCACCCCGTCCCACGTCAGAATCTGTGGTTCCCGTTAATTTTGACTGGTGACTATGCTATGGCACTTGCTCATGAGCGTTAGATAAATCCCAGCTAGCCATCTACCCTCGTGGCCTCATAGATACTGCCCTGTAGCCTGGCTACGCGATGCCGTGCTCTGATCTGGGTGCCTTCTCTGACTGTTGCAGCTGGCACCCTTTTTATTTTGCAATCTTGGAAGAGAAACCAAAAGCAGAAGGAAAGCCACAGCTGAACTATTCTTTTCCTTGAGAACAGTTCATCCAGAGCATGGACATTTAGGCATGATCAGGCTGATTTACGTATGCGGCTTCGGGGAGTAAATGTAGTGTTTTCAGATGTGTTTGCACTTCTGTGGTACACCTATTTGTTTGTTTTTATGTGAGGCACTGGATACGGTAGCATCAAGAAGTTGGAAAGTCATAAAGCAAAATGTCTTTCGAATGCTAGTGATGCCGCAGCCGCGCAGGGTGGGTGTGTTCTGATGCGGTCCCCAAGCCGTAAGAAACTGGGAACGGCTCTCCTCCTGGCAGCTCTCCTTGCCGAGAGTTTTCAGAGAAGTGAGAGCGTGCCCCGTGTTGCAGCACGTGGTCGGGGCACCTCTCTGTTGATTTGGCGTATCTGAATGGAGATGGGACTTTGCTTGCTCTGTGAGCTTCGTGAGAAGCATTCTCACTAATTTCTCTTCTCTTGCTTAATAGGAAGGAGTTTTTTGAAGGCTGCAAAGCAATAAATGCAGACAGCATCGATGGCATTTGTGCAAGGTTCCCCAGCCTCTTAAATGAAGCCAAGCAGGAAGATAAATTCAAGGATCTCTATCGTTTCACCTTTCAGTTCGGCCTGGACTCTGAAGAAGGACAGCGGTCGCTACATCGGGAAATAGCCATTGCCCTTTGGAAGTTGGTCTTCACCCAAAACAAACCCCCTATTTTGGACCAGTGGTTACACTTCCTAATCGAGAACCCCTCAGGAATCAAGGGAATCTCCCGGGACACGTGGAACATGTTTCTAAATTTTACTCAGGTGATTGGACCAGACCTTAGCAACTATAGCGAAGACGAGGCCTGGCCTAGTCTCTTCGATACCTTTGTGGAATGGGAAATGGAGCGAAGGAAAAAGGAAGAGGAAACCAAATGTATTATTGCATCTTCAGACACAGAGGGGCTGTGTACGGAAGAACAGACTTAACAGCATTTCAGCAGCAGTGACAAAAGCAACCTGTTGCCCTTCATGAAATGTAAACTCTGGATGTTTCTGGAAATTGCCGAGGCTCCAGATTTTTCTACTTTACACCTTTTTCTGCCTTGTATTTGAAAGGGCTCTAAAATGCTGTATCATGTTTTAGGCACTTTCTTAACTTTGGTTATTCCTTTTACTCTTGCCCTGAAATATTTGGCCCTGGCTACAAGTTAAGCATTTTTGGGGTTTTTTTTTAAGACTTCAGATTAGTATAAGTAAGTCTGATGTTTCTTGCACAATGTAGATCTTTTTAGTTAGGTTAAATTAACATTGCTAAATTATACAGTGCCAGATTAAGTTTTTCATACTACATCTGTCAGGGCAGGTCTGTACTGTGTGTAGTGCTGTTTACATTGTTGAAATTTTAGGCTGTAATAATTTTAAGGTTTTATACCAAGATGAAAAGCAGTGTTAGCTGTTAACGATAAATGCATTAATCCCCTGGTAATAAGGCTCTAAAAACAACATCAGCAACAGCTTTTTGTGATATGGCTAATTCCCATTTTACGCTAACTCTTAGCGAGTGAGTCCAAATCGTTCCTTTTTTTCAGAGATCAAACTAAATGTTGGGATTGTTTTATAAAACTACTGTACCTGTCAGTCAACTGAGTAGTAGATGATGATTTGTATCTAAATCTCTTATACACCACATAATAGAAGAGCGAGCAGTACTACCTCAGTTTTACTGAAAGCGGACTTCTTGATGGACTTCCATTTTTCTCTGGAAGTTGTATTTTTGTGGTTACATGACAATATTTTTACTTGATTAAAGGAACCAAAGGTTCTGCTTCTTAAGTTTGCTAAACGTTAGCAGAAGCAACAAATAAACCCTAAGTCTTCAAGGAAAACTGTGGTATAATTCTGCTTTAATATGTTTGATTTATACCTAAAGTATTATCTTACTTGTCTGGCAAGCACAGTACTTCTATGTAAGGAACTATCTTTTACATTAATATTGACAAACCAATTTTTTTAAACCTACGTTTAATTGCTAAATTGCAGTTAATACTCCACACTTTCTGGAGCAGCAATATTGGCATCTGATGACAAAGTGAATTCTTAATGTGCTCTTAATGACAAAAGTGTAGATGCATCATTTTTAGACTGATTTGATAATATTTGGATAGGAGTCGATTTATTATTTTAAAATGCCTGTATTGGGACTATTTGCCTGTTGAAACTGTTGTGACTTAAAGGGAGTTTTATTAACACTGGTTGAAACTTTTTTGGTTATCGATGCTACCTTTTTTAATTTTAGTATGTCAACTTTTTTACACTTTTTGGTAAAAGGGATGATTGCCAAGGCTTTCTGCTGAGCGAAGCATTGGCTTAACAAATTTGATACGCTTCCATTACACGTCCTTATTTTCAGAGCTGCATTTCAGGATCATAAAATGACTTCAATTAAAAAAACAAAACAAACAGAAAACTGAACAATCGTCCATAGCATCTGATGGCTTTTGTGCTATATAAGGGTTTTAAAGCTAAAGGAAAACACGTTTTAAGTAGAGCTTGTCGTTAGGCCCAAGATGGCATGCTTTGCCATCCGCGGCGCCCCTGAATTTGGAATATCTGCCTGAATTTGGTAACTGGCTTTGTTGGTACCCGGCCAAGGCAGTAACTTGGGTCTGAGATCATATATCACTAACAAAACGTGGGTATCTAAAACTATTGGGGGGAAAAAAAGCCCACAAGTCTCAAATAGCATCTCTTTCACCTGATAAAAGGAGAGTGTGATCCATGCCGCTCCTGCGTTGCGAGATGTGTCAAGCTGCGGAAAACAAATGCAGTTGTTCTAGACGCAAGTGAGTTTGTGCTCTGCAGGAGAGGCGCCCTGATCTCCCCTTGTTACTGCTAAACACACCCTCGCTTGGTCCTCGCTCCTGCAGCCTTCCCGGCTGCCGCGGCGCAGCCGGCTTCGGTGAGCGACGCAGGCCCAAGCGCGC